TGTCAACAACCTACACCAGTTGTCACTACCAGTACCGTCAACAACCTACACCAGTTGTCACTACCAGTACCGTCAACGGACACAATTTACAACCGAGGCACAAGGTAAGGTGAAACAAAAAAAGAGAAGACATAGGAGCAACGAATAGGCTTGCTCAGATAATTTTTATCTGCACTCAGCATTATTTTCAGCCTTAAATCACTTAGTTCTTGGCAAAGAATTCCACCCAATGTATAACGAACTAACAGTGAGGCAGACAAGAGGCTGCAACTCTCAACAGACCAAAGGGGTGCAAGAACCACTGAAAGTAGAGGGGAAGTGACAGTCAACCAGCATATACACACTAAAAGGAAGCAGTAACCAGACAGAAGCCTCTGGCAATGCAATTGGCTGACCCTTTGGTACCTATAGGGAAGGCAAGAGAACTGTCAAACTCCATCTTTGCCTAGGGAAGAAAAAAAAGCAGACCCAACAAGATGACACTAATGACCCCTAAAACTAAGACATAACCCACCCAAAGTGGAGGGCTTCTAAATAGCCCTAGTAGCAACACTGATCTAACATAAAACTCCCACAAGAAGTCTGGCACTAAAAAAAATTGCCACCAGCCATTTCCAAGGAATGCAAGCAAGAAATTAGTCAAAATAGTGCTGCAACCAGATGGAAATTAGCTAAAAGTGGGTAAAACCCAACCATGCAGAGAGCATCAGAGGCTTGCAACCATTGATTAAGCACTGTTAGGCCAAGCCAAACAACAAGATGCTTACAAACAGCATCAGAACTGCTTAGCTCATGGTTAAAACTGACCTATTACCCCAACAGAAAAACAACCAATTAGACATAGTGCTAGGACAGCATAGAAACTGGAATAGGCCAAGACATGGTGTATCCAACTGAACTGAAGCTGGAAAATACTAAATTGCACTAAAATAGGTACAGTACATCAATCCTGGGGTGAAAAATACAGAGCAGATTACTCAGCCAGAGTATATGGTCCACTGAACCAAGCACACTCGGTGCAGAAATGGAATGGCTTAATCGCTGAGGAAGCAAGAATAAGAAATGCCAAAGCAGTCAAGATTAACTTAAGAGAATAATGAGGCCACAACAATAGCTAACTTATACAGAAGATAACTGGATACACTGGTCAGCAAATGGTTTACGTACATATAAAAGTACGTGTATACATGCAAAAGTCCACTGAAAAGCACAGGTGTACTTGAAAACGAGAGATGCATGAGATGGCTTGAAAAGACACCCGCTCTGTCAGATATGAGAAATTCATATTTGCCTGGCAGGAATCTTGCAATGTCTTGTGTGAGCTGATCATTATCTAAGGAACTGACCAAAGTACAGTGCAAAGGTTTAAGCTCTGAAATATGGTCACTGCACCTACTGCACAAGTTATAAATCTATAATGGACAAAAATATATATGAAGAATTCTTGTGATATGGTAATCATGGATATCTGCATAATATTCCCTATTTTGCTAAAGGCCAAAACAGTTTACTGCAAATGGGTGCTTGTGTACTGCTACAACTGGAATTTGCAATAAAATCTTTCAATACATTACTAGTCTCAGCTCATCAAGGAACTAACCTGGACATCAACCATTATAGTACTCTATCAAATAAGTACTGTAACTGGCTACAGTACAATACATTATTGTATTAATTTTCCTGGGACAGATTAAGTCTACAAATCAAAATAAATCTTAATATTAGAGCTAGTTATGTTTACACAACAATTTAAATGTTTTCTGTCTGTGCTGCATTGAAACTTGATACACCATAAATTATCTTTATATTTAATGTTAACTGGATGAAGCTTATTTTCACTTGTGAAGCTACACACACACACACACTAAGTAAAGCTCAACCCAATGGGCACAATATCCAAGTGTAACATTGAATTAATATTGATAACGTTGGTTTAATGTTGAATTAACGTTACTCTTGGATATTGTGCCCACTGGGAACATTTTGCTATGTATATATATATACAGTAATATGGTCACTTCAGATTTACCAAGTGAAATATATTGATGATTTTGGTAATGCTATAAAAAATGTAAGGAGATTCTCAAGTAACAAATATGTCTTTGGTACCTTATACTACACAGCACATACCTACCTTGTGGTTACCTTGCAATGCCATAGAAACACTATGACCAGCTCTTCAAATCACTACACACTTCACTCTCTTCAGAGTAGGTGCTTTCTGGTTACCTTACCTTGAGGTTACCTTGAGGTGCTTCCGGGGCTTAGCGTCCCTGCGGCCCGGTCGTCGACCAGGCCTCCTAAACACAAATCACAAACACAAATCAGTTAATTACCTTAAATTATATAATCTCTGTAAATCATTCTAGTTTTATCACAGAAAATAAAGATTAAGCAAAAATTATGCTTACTGTACAGCCACATTAAACATTCTATTCTTCAAGTCCTAATTACCAAGATTTTAACAATCAACACTACAGTGCCTGCTATGTCCGAAAATATTTAAAAAAAAAGTTACAGAAATTTTTTATTGTGTTCTGATATGGATAAATAGTGTCAAAAGTTTAAAATGCATTGTAACCTTTCACTGCATACTTCGCATAACTGAAAGACAATATATACATCAAACTACCACTCAAGATTTATTTAGTATTATCTAGGCAGCAAGCCTAAATACTAAACTGTAAACAAAATTAGCACTGCAGTTAAAACAATCATTTAGTATTGAAACTTAGCCATAATCATAGAGTAATTACCAAAAGAAAGCATAACCAGGATGACTATACAGCACTCTCCATTACAGAATATTTAAGGTAAGGTAATCATCAGGAGACGGTGCAAAACCATTACGATTATACAGAACTTGGAAGGGATGTAGATAAGGATTTGGAGAAGGAATAGTGTCCAACCACTTGGACGGTCAGGGACTGAACAATGATCTGGAAGAAGAGAGACTGTTGTTACTGTCCAGTTCCAGGTAAAGAGCCTATAAAATATTCAGGAGTTTCAGGATAACATTTAAAATGTTAATATGAGAGCAGAAAGACATAGGACGAGATTTAGATGTAAATTCTTACCTCATTTGATGTAAGATGTAAAATGAGGTAAGAATTATCAAAAAGTGTTGAGCTAGGAAGACTATGTAGCACCATCTGTGTCGCTGGATACTCAAAAAGTACTAAACTTTAGTCAAGATGTCCATACAAGAACAAAAGGACATAAGGCAAGCAATATCCAATGTATTGGATTCATCAAGGATTCTACTAAGGGACAAATGACCCCAAGGGACATAAGGAATGCAAGGCGTGGATCTTGGTGGGGTTCTGGGAGTGCTACTTCCCAAGCCCTGCCCAGGGCCAAGCTTAAAATTAATCATCCCAAAAATCATGACCGTCTACAAGGAGGTGCACGACTGTTAGTGGGACAAGACATTTTCCATAAGAAAGTGTAGGTCTTGATACATTGGAATGCCCATGAATTAATCATGTGTGGTCAATATGTAGTCTAGGAGATATTTCCCCATTTCCCATTATGGTAGTAGGCCATGGGGATAAGTCACATTTAAAAGCACACAGTTTGTTATTCACAATAGCTGACCATCTATCTCACCCATGGTTATGGGTTGGGTTATGAATGACAGGGTACAAATCAAAGAAAGGAATTAATTTCTGGAAATGGGACAGACAATAGCTCTTTTTCTGCGGAGAGCCCTTCCAGCTCCTTGGAGTTATACCGGGCTGATGTGTGTATATATTAGACCGTGGCCACAGTCAATCGATGGAGTTCTTGACCTACCGGGGACCACAAGCCAGAACCTGGCCCCCTCTGAGAGGCATGAGGAGCAATGACCTATAGACACCCCCATGTAGTTGGAAGTGGTCTATGTCTGCCATCTACCAGGTCAGGCACCCAAAAAGATAAGAATCCCAAAACAAACAACAGCTGGTTAAACATTGCAAACTGAAAACCGAATGAGCAAGCAGAATTCCCCAATCATAAAACAAGGAAACGAGCATGACGTTACCACAGCCGCCGCGCCGCTGTCTGTGCAACTCCCCCCCTCCTTGGGAGGGGAAAGGGGGTGTCCCAGACCTCCGACGCCGGCTACCCAACCCCAGTTCTGAGACTGTTGTGTTGGATGGTGGTCAATCGACTCTGCCTTCAATCTTCGAGCAGTGCTGTGCCTTGAGGTGTTATGCTGTGTGAGGCAGGTGTTATTCCAGAAGTACTGGGGCTGCATGTACCTAGGGTCACCTTCCCTAGGTGCCCCTGTAAGTATTGCCCTTGCAGCTTGGGGTTGCCTGCCACAAACTGTTCGGGTGCTACCTCCTCAGGGTTCTTTTGCTGCTTGGTGATTACCCGCCATTGCGGTCAGCTGGGGTTTTTACCTACCCCTGTTTGGCCTTGGGTAGGAGGTAGCATCGTAGCTGGCAGGGGTGCAAGGTACTGTGCAGCTGTCTTATAATACACATAGCGGCTGGTTCTGTTCCTCATGGAGACAGTGCGCTTCTGCAGGGTGTTTCTTTTCTTTTGTTTTGTTTTGCCTGGTGGAGGTGTGGCTGTAGGACCACTTGTATGATTTTGGTGGCACTCTGCTAGATCCCTGTGATTGCACACATTGCAGGGGGTTCAGCATTATATTTGTTTGTTTGGTAGTTCTGGGATAACTACTTAGCAGTACCTTGCTTGGGCTTCTCTTAGCGATCGGCCTAAGGGCCTGGAAACGCCCATTTTGGCTCATTGGTCCAATGGATGCGTCTTCTGAGTCCCATCTCACTTTGTGCAAGTTTGAAGGTTGCTCTGTCCCCTTGTCTCAGGGTGACACTCACCGTCTTTGCCTCTGCCATGCTGCCTGTTGGGTCAGTGACACCTTTCACCTGGAGTCCTGTGAGTGGTGTTCCTTGCTTGTACAGTATTCCAATTCACCCAGTCCACTGATATTAACATTAGGGTGCAGGCAGCTTAAGCGTTGTATGTGTGGTTTAGGTTGCTGCAATGTGCTAGGTTCGTTCTGGAAGCCCTGCGGCTGCCCCGCTTTGGTTACTGGGACTCGGACTTGAGGGTGTTAGTCGCCCTGACTTTGGTTTCGTCCGCACTCTCTTGATCTTCCCCTGCTGTGGTTCATCATGCTCCCAACCGTCTGAGGGTTTCAGAGTCGGGGCAGGGCTTTCTTGGTGGCGAGACTCGGGTGGCCTCGAGGACTGCGCCTTCCGGATTGGCGGTGGAGGCATTCGAGCCTGTTCCTCTTGTTGGGGCTTTTGGGTCGTGCCAGCAGGTCCTCTTCTTCCCTGCTTTTCCGTTTGACTCTGCCCTTTCTCCAGAGGCAGAGAGTTTGGAGGACGGCTCGTCCTCGGAGGAGTTGACTTCGGAGGTTTGGGCCCCAATTGACCCCGCTTGGGTATTGGTACCCTTGACATGGGGCTTCTTGTTAAAGGGGAAGGGATTTTCCTATCCCCACTCCCTGTACGAGTTTGATATGGGTTCGACTCCTCCTCGGGTTCCCTTGGGTTCCTCGGTTCCCGCCCTCCGGAGGTTTTTGGCTTCCCGCATCCCGCTGAGGGAGGTGCGGGAGGCCCTTGCAGCTTACCTCATGGGAGACCCGGATTACAACTCAATAATTGGAGCACCTCAATGTGTTTGTTCACCCATGTGCTTCCTTGCGATATTGGACAGGTGCAGGTTTCCTCCCTTTCAGCGTCCCTGGTGGCCAAGGATTTACGCGCCCATGGGCACATGGCTTTGGTCTTGTGCTCCTCTTTCCTCCTGGAGCTGTTTTAGGACTGGCTCGAGGAGGATGTGGAGGAGCTAGGTTCCGGGCCAGTGTCCGGTGTGTTTGCTTTGGCAGCTCAGGTGTCAGCTGCCTTGTTGAAGTTGTTTGTGCCGATTCTGGAGGAGGTGGTCTCTCTGTTCTTTGCGTCTCGCCTTGCGAGCCGACAGGTGGTGTATGTCCACTCTTTGGAATCTACTTGGGATCCTGGCTCTTAGATTTTCATCCCCCTTTTGTCCATTGCTGTTTGCAGTCTGCAGTGGGGCATTTTTTGCAGGCGGCTTCGTATAGTTGCTGGCCTGTCGGACATGTTGGTTCTTTGGGGGGGGGGGTGGGGGTGTTCCATGGGGGTCCTGCCTGGGAGGGTTGTGTCAGGGCTCGTGGGTTCCTTCGGTCGTCGTAAGCCAGTGGTGCCAGATTTGGGGCCGGCCCCTCCGGCGGAGCCGTCGACGTCTGGTCGGCGCAGTGCTCGCTCTGAGTGTTGGTTGGGCTCTCATAAGGGCAATTGGTCTTTTCGCGTTCGCCCCATTGATGGGGCAATGGGTAGCAATGGTGGGCAAGTAAGTAAATAATTATCAAAAGAAGGCACCAAACCGGGAACGCTATGTAGCAATGGTGGGCAAGGATCGCGTGGTTTGCTCACCCCTGGTCTCACGATTCATGGGCATTTCGGGTCGTTTCCTCCGGCCTATGGTGGCGCTGGTGGCTCCTCCTTCAACCTCCGGGGGTGGAAGAGGAGCCACCTTTGGGGGATTCGGGGCAGGCTCTTCCCCTGTGCTATGTCGGTTCATCCTGGAGTGGATACGCTTGGGCATGGTCGAAACGACTGCATCCCTCAGGTAGGTCTACCGCCTGTTTCCTGCTCTGAAACAGCAGACCCAAGGTTCATTCTGGACTTGTCCCATCTGAACCCCTTGGTCTTTTGCCCCCTCCTTTTGGATGACTACTCTGTCCCAGCTCCAGCTACTTTTGGAGCTGGGCGCTTGGATGGTGTCTCTGGACCTCCGGGACTCGTATTGGCATGTCTCGATTCATCCGGGGTTCAGGGACTGGGTCGGTTTTGTCGTGGGGTGACATTCTTACCACTTTTGTTGCCTTTTATTCGGCTTGAATCTGGCACCTTTCATTTTTACATGCCTTACCCGGGTGGTGGTGATCCATTTGCTTCTGTTAGGATTCGGATTCTGGCTTACCTCTATGACTGGTCCGGTGGTTCATTGCCTGAACCGAGGGGGTTAGATGCAGTTGCTGGTCGCTTCGGGTGACTCATCTGCTGAGTTCTTGAGGTTTGGCTCTCCTGGCGGCTCATATCCAAGGGGTGTCCAACGTCTTGGCGGACAGCCTATCCTGTTTCATTCCCCTGTCCACGGAATGGACGCTCGACAATGCCTCATTCCTTTGGTTCTACCAGAGGTTCAGGCACCCCTGAGGTGGACCCCTTCACGTTGGCATGGTTGAGACGTCTCCCACTTTATGCGGCTCCCTTCCCCAACTGCGAGGCCGTCGGGGTTGATGCCTTTCGACTGGACTGGTTGAGGTGGGGTTACCTGTACCTCTTCCCCCCCCCCCCCATTTGTTTGTTGCTCCAGGTCCTGGCTTGCTTGGAGACTTAACAGGGGAGAGTAGTCCTGTTGGCCCCATGGTGGCCAGACCAGCCTTGGTTTCAGGTGCCTGCTTGCTTGGTGTTTAAACCTGAGGGTCTTCCCACAGCTCCACCTCTTTCAGCAGACTGGTCCGGTTCAGTACATGGCTGTTTCGATCTTCTCCTCCAATCTTCGTGTCTCGTCTTTTTGATGCGGGTTTATCACCACTTGTATGGTGATCAGGTGGCTTCATTGACAGTGTCCCGCCTACGAGTCTTGTCTCTGTGGCAGTCTGAAGTTTCCTGGCGGTACTTTCGGCATTTCTTGACTTATTGTAGGTTGTCTTCGATTTCTGATCGGGTTGTTTTGTCCTTTCTCTCTTGGTTGTTTCTGGACCATCATCTTATGCCGAATACTGTCACCTTGTATCGTGCTACGCTGGCGGAGCTGCTTCAGCTTGCATTCGGGATGGATGTCACTTCTGCTCTGTTCCACAAGCTTTCTAGGACGTTGTTTCACCTCTCGCCTGCTCATGCGCCGCCTGAACCTTTCTTGTCGTTGGACCGGGTGCTCTCCTTTCTCTCTTCTCCTCGGTTTTTGGTGGTCTCTTCGGTTCAGGACTGTTTTTCTAAGGCTCTTTTCTTGTTGGCATTGGCCTCAGGGGGGGTCAAGTCGGGGAGCTTCATGCTCTCCTCCGGCGCAGGGGTTTCTGCTTTTCAGTCCTGGTGGTCATTTTGTTCGTTTGCAGCCGTCTCCGACATTTCTGGCGAAGAATGCCACTGCTGCTTTCTGAAGGGTCCTTGGGTTGTTGATGCTTGGATGGTTCGTCCGGGGGCGCATCATGTTTTGTGTTCAGTTGTGGCTCTTCGCCGTTATTTGCGCGCCGTGGACTCTGTGGCAGGGGACGTGCTTTGGGTTGACCCGGTTTTTCTTCTTTCCTGTTCCAGGGTGTGGGTCTCCCAGGTTGTCCACAAGATTATTCAGTCCAGTCAGCCTGCGGTCTATCCCTGTGCCCACAACATTCGTAAGTTCGCGGCTTTGGCTGCTGTTTTTGGTAATATGTCCTGGGCTGACATTCGGGCATGGGGCTTTTGGAGGTCAAACAAAGTCCTGGCTACACGGTACCTTGTTAACGTTCCGGGTCCTTCTCGGGCATGTGTAACCAGCTGTCTCGACTTCAAGTTCAGAGAGTAGCGGCCGCCTCCTGGGTAAGTCCCTCTTTTCCTTTATCTTTGGTTAGGTAGCTCCGGGGAACCGGAGGGGCTCTCCACAGAAAACCAGCGTTGAATGTAATGAAACGCCATTTTCTGGGCGAGACCTGGAGGCTCCCTGGCAGCCCTCTCTTCCTCCGGTCTTCGGTTTTTCATGTTTTTGATATTCAGCCTCTGAACTGGGGTTGGGTAGCCAGTGTGGGTGGTCTGGGACCCATCCTCCCCCTCCCCAGGGAAGGGGGGGAAATGCGTAGACAGTACCACAGCGGCTGTGGTGATGTCATGCTTGTTTGCTCGTTTTCTGATTGGGGAGTACTACTTGCTCGTTCGGCTTTCAGTTTGCAATTTTTAACCAGCTGTACAGTAGTTTGTTTTGGGATTCTTACCTTTCTGGATGCCTGACTTGGTAGATGGCATACAAAGAATGCTTCCAGCTACATGGGGGTGCTTATAGGCCATTGCTCCTCGTGCCTCTCTGAGGGGGGTCGGGTTCTGGCTCATGGTCCCCAGTAGGCCAAGAACTCCATCGATTGACTGTTGCCAAGGTATAATATATACACATCAGCCCAGTATACCTTAGGAAAAACCTCCAGGTCTCACCCAGAAAATGGAGTTTCATTACATTCAACGCTGTTTTTTTTTTTTTTTAGCAGCAACAACACCAATATGTTTGAGAATCCAGCAAAATTTGACTGTCATATCTGCTAAAGATGAGGTACAACCAATGAGATAAGAAGAGCTCCAGGGGCCCTGAAAGCACACTATCATAAACATAAAATAACCATTGATACTCTCATATTGTTTTGACTTGTTTGTAAACAGAGCATGAATGGCAGTGCAAATGTTCAAGGAAAAGGCATTTCAAGAGGGGAGGACAAGCCATCACAATATGAGAGGGGCACAATGAGAGAGATTCAAGCAACTATGCCATTCATGCAGTAAAATATAACAAAGGAGAGTTCATAGTTGATGCCTGTGAAGAAGCCCAGGTGTTGCTGATATCTCATTTTGGAAAAGATGATGTCCTTTGGTTTAAGGTGCAGCTGTACTGTTCTATTTCAAATTGAAATAAGAAACAAGAAAACAGTGACCACCAACGCAATTAATACAGTAAGCGGACAGGGTTGTGCAAGTGGACTTAACATGACTGGACTTGCCACAAACTGGGCCAAAGCCCAGCATTAAATATAATGAAATTCCTCTTTCTGGAAGAGCCCTAATGGTTCCCTGTAGCTAACTTGCTGAGATCACTCCATACTATAAGGTAACATCAGTCGCATGAGTTCTCTCTGGCCTATCGGGGATCAGAGCCAGAATGTGGCCCCTCCTCACGCATGCTCAGAGAGCAAACCTTTATTCTGCCATATCACTGGAAAAGCATCCAGAAAGTCAGTAAAACTTTACAGTTAACTGTTGGGTTTACAAAAACAATCTTTGAAACCCCAAATGCTTCAAACGAAATAAATCCACTTCTAATAAACTCGAGCTACATAGTACCGATCACCACCAATGGGCAGTCCAGAGCTCGCTCCTCTGCCAATTCTCCATTCAGTTCTTGAGAAGATAACAACTACCCCAGCAAACCACTGAACCTGGAAGGGAGGAAGGGGGGACTGGAAGCCACTATGGCTATCAGACAGAGGCATTTAAGTATGTTCAATGATTGGGTTCTGGGGGAACCCCTCGATGGCTCTTTCTAGCTAAATATCCATAGAGAAAGATAAGGGACTTACCAGGGGAAAGGAGGAAGGGCAGTAAGTACTAATTTAAAGGAAAGATCTTCAGCTGGCAACCACAACCCAGGCAACACAGGGACGACAAGGACCAGGGGCACTGACTCCCTATAGTTAATGTCC